AGAAGTCAAGGTTTTAATAAAGAGATATACTGAAGGTTATGACATCTTACAACTGAAGATTTTATCATTGTATAGTGACATAGATCACTGTCTATCATGGCTTTCATATTATACATGTTATCAATCACAGTAGATACAAGAATCACATTCATTGTTATCTTCTTTTCAAATCATTGTCATCTGACCTCTTCAAGCTCCTGTTTATGAATTTGAACAGAAGCTAATCTTTTCCCTGTTTCACTGAGACATTCTCATAGTTATCTTCTGAATCTTCCTCTAATGTAACATGATTGACATGGACAGACGCTGATCTATTCTTCAAATAAGAAGATGCTGATCTTTCTCTCAAGTATGAAGGCACATAGGTTAATCAGCAGTTGAAAGCAATGTGTTCTGATTGATTACAGTTGATGCACACTTCACATTGATATTGATCAGTGACTTCTTCAGAAGTGATCTCAGAGACTTAAAAGTCTGTTCAGATGATAAAGACTCTTGCTTATGCATAGACATTTGAGTCTACTCAATTCATGGCGTCTGCATCATTGTTATTCCTCAGTGCAGGTGTATGAGTCACTGAGGTGTAATATCTTCTGTCACTGTTCTGTATATTTCTGAGCTTGATAAGACAGTCATTCATTATCTGAAGCTGTGTGCAGAAGTCTTTATAAGTCTGGTCTTTGTCTGCACTTACAAGGGCCTGTAAGAGTTTGAAAGTTAATGTCTTCTTGAGCATGTTAATCTTCATTTAATTCTCTCAAGATTAATCATCTGCTTCTAGAATCTTGATGTTGAAGTCAGAGATGAATGTTGTAAGAGAAGTGTTTCTCTGTTAAGCACTCTATAACCAATCTAATGCTTTCTGTTGTATGACAGTGTCTTGAAACAGGATATCAAGATGTTTCATGATGTTGTCAGGTGTTCACAATGCTGATTCATATGCTTTTATTCATGAATGAAACTTCTGTTTCACATGATCTTTCAATTGTTCATTGATATATCAATCTTAATTGATTAATAAACTGATGACATCTTCATCTACACTCAGTTTCATGAGCATTTTCATTCTTCATGATGAGTAGAGAGTGAGATCAGAAGTATTGAAATATGTAAAAGCACTTAAGCATTCTTTCAGTGCTTTTGTATTCAGTTCTGTAGATGTTGAAATTGCATGAGTTAATTGTTGAATCTCTTCATATTGAAGTTGTTGAGTTGTATGCATGTCTGCTATCTGTTGCTGTTGTAATTCCAACATTGCTTAGAGCCACTGTGGTATCACATCTATACTCGCATTCAATGGTTTCATATTATTGTTAGACATGGTTATATTGATTGTCAGATGTATAATATCTGTGAAATCTGAAGAAATATAATCATATTCTCATATGTCTGAGTGTCAGAACTCTCAGGTCTTTCACTGATATTCTCTTATAAGATCTTTATTATGAGGTCAGAGTAACTGATGAGCAAGCTTCTATCTGAGAACTTAGTGTTCACTTAACTGTGTTTTCTCTTTCTTATGTGTTATTACGCATTCGGATATCTCTTGATGAATAATCATTTCTAATGAGAAGACAATGAATGTTTTTATAGTGTAAGAGGCCTATACTGAATAGATCAGTATAATATTGATAGATCTTATATAACAAAGATAAAAACATTAGAGAAGGAAAGAAAGAGAAAGTGTGAGAATCAGTGATTGAGATAGATATTTATACATGTATGTGATGGTGTACACGGTGGAGCTTCGGGGCGGAAGAATATACACATGTTTGTAGCAGCTGAGAATCAGCAATTGAGAATGGCCGAGAATCAGAGCGTACGCGTTCGAGAATGAAGTGATTGAAATCTGTGAAGTGTAATGAAATAGTCTATATGATTGATCGCGCGCAGCCCGCCACAGTAGTGAAGTTCAATATATAAGATAGCTGTTCAGACTCTTTAATTATATCAGATAATTAATCATTGAGTGTAATACTCTAATCAGAAAAAGATTCAGATATTGAAACTTTCTAATATAAAGTAAACTCAGTTGAAATATATAATTTATTTACTATTTCAGTTTTATAAGATAATAAAGACAGTCTCAATTACTTATACATTAATACTGCAGTCAGTCTGATAAATATATAATAGTTTATTTACTCATCTTGAGAAGCAGTTGAATCACTTAAAAAGAAATTCAGTCTGAAATAATACTATAGTGCAGACTATTATTACTGTAGAGAATAAACTGATATATTACTACAGTAAAACTGAACAATCTTTTACAGAGTACTATACTGTAGCAGCTCTACTAAATCTCTTTTATTAAGTTAATATCTACACTTCTCAAGATTGAATAGAGAAGAAATAAGACTTATATATTAAATTAGTCTGAGACTACTATAATATTGACTATTAGAGATTTGAACAAGCAGATATTCAAGATATAAAGACAGTGAAATACAATTCTCTAATAAGTAATAATCTGTAATAATACTCTATATTACATAGAACTTTAATACTAACTTTGAAACAGAACTTGTATACATTGATTACAACTGAAAATCAGGCAAAACTACATACTTATAAAACTGAATTTAATTACTATCTTCAAGATAATCTGATAAATTTATACATCAAATCAATTCTAGAGTTATGAAAAATTATTAAGAGTATATATTCAATTATTACACTGATGATATGTGATATTCTAATAATTTCATTAACAGAGATGAGAATGAAGTAAAAGTTTAACTTAAGCTGAGATATTTATCACTATCACTGAGAACAATTATAAGAAGAAATAATCAAGAAACTCATGATTATAAAATATGAAATTATCAGACAGTTTTATATCTCTGATCACAGTATATCAGAGAAGTGTAGTTTTTATGAGAAAGTGAAGAATAAACTTATATAAGAATGTATTTAGTTGTTTTATAAGCATTATGAATAATTGTTATCAAATTCTGATTATATAAGTGTGGCGGGCTGCGCCCGATCAATTTTATAGACTATTTCATTACACTTCACAAATTTCTATCACTTCAATTCTCGGTCGCCAATCCTCAGTTAAAAACCTACAGAATTTCTACTCTTCCACCCTGAAGCTTCACCGCGTACAAAAACCCCTATTCTTTCACCTTGAAGTTTCACCATGTACATCACTGTGTACATGTATAAATATTCACTTCAATCACTGATTTCCATACTTTCTCTTTCTTCCCTTCTCTAATGTTTTTCTCTTTGTTATATAAGACCTATATATTATACCAATCTATTCGGCGTAGGCCTCTTACAATAAGTAATTACTGCATGAATTGAATGAGACTGATTTTAATCTTCAGTCTCAGTCTTATTCTGATTTTGAAAGAATGATTATCTTTCACAGTTTATTCTGAGAAATTACTCTCATTTCACTGTTCTTGAATTAAATCTGATTATTTTTCATATCATTTCTCTCAGAAATGATTCATTTTCAGATTTTTTGCAGACTTAGTTCTAATGAGACTCACATCAAGAAATGTATAAGATCAGATTAAATGAAATTAAATGTGAAATTCATGATTCTGCTGACTAGTCTATACATTGTTATATATTCAGATATCTCAGTAAATAATCATTTCTAATAAGAAGACAATGAACATTTTCTAAGTATAATAAGTTCATATTAAATAAATCAGTATAATATATATAGATCTTATAATACAAAAGTGAAAAATGTTAGAGAAGAAAAGAAAGAGAAAGTGCAGAAATCAGTGATCAGAGTGAATATTTATATATATATATAGTAAAGCTTCAGAGTGAAGAAATAGAAATTTCATGAGTTTTTCAGCTGAGAATCAGCAACTGAGAATCAGAGCTCTAGAGCGGAAGAATAGAAATCTGTGCAGTATAAGAATAGAAATCTATAAAGTGTAATGAAATAGTCTATATGATTAATTAGACACAGTTTACTACATCAATTAAATACTGAAATTATTCTTGAATTTAATAATGAAGTAAGTATTTATATAATTTACACTAAATTAATTATCAACTGATTTTTAATCAATTATTAATTACTTAAATATATAGATTGAATCTATTTTTATTACTATAATCAATTAATAATTAATTCAGAATCAATTCAAAATCAATTAAAAATTAATTTAAAATTAATTATTAAATATTTTTATCTTGATACATTTTAAAATTCTGTAAAACATCTCTTTATATTCTATATGAATTTATCTGCTCATTTGATTGACTATACATGCTTTGATTGATTGATGAGCTGAATGAATGAGTAAATTGAAAGGTTGAAAGTTAATTACCAACTGATTATTACTGTATTATGCGAGGTCGGGGTCATGATTATGTAACGAGGTCAAGTGGCGCACTTAGCGAGGTCAAGTTTTCTGTATACACGGATTTCTGTTTCGGCCCCTAGGCTCCTCACCCTTACCTAAGCCTAATTAGTGCCTGGACTTGCTTTTGGCCTAAGCAAACGTTCTAACCCAAGCCCAGTTGGTTGCCGAAGCGCATTTGCCTGATCTAAGCAAAGCTGCTCACCCAGGATGCTCCTCACCTAAGCACACTTTCAAACCCAAGCGCAGCTGCTGCTCAAGCTTGCTCCTCGCCGAAGCAAAACTCCTCACCCAGGCACATTTGTTGCTTGAGCTTGTTCATAAACCGAATCACATCTCTAACCTAAGCTTGCTCTTAACCTAAGCAAAGCTTCTCGCCCAGGTGCACTTTCCAACCCAAGCCTATTTATTTCTTTGGCTTGCTCTTGACCTAAACACACTTTCTAACCCAAGCCTCGTTGTTGCCGAAGCACACTGGTTGCTCGAGCTTGTTTCTAATTTAAGCAAACCTTCTCAACCAGGCACACTCTCTAACCTAAGCCCAATCAGATCAGTGCCAGAGCAACCTCCGGCCCGGCCTGTTTCCCCGGTTAAGGCCCTTAACCACACTTCGTCAAAGACCCCCCGGAGCGTCACGTGATCCCTGAAAAACGCAATTATACCCTCAAAAATTTCGCGGCTGCGCCGCTATTAAAGCACCCCAGGCGGCTGGAGGCCGGCCGCGGTCCGGGCAGGGACAGGAAAAGGAAGAGAAAAGAAAAAGAAAAGAAAAGGAAAAGAAAAGAAAAAGAAAAAGAAAGAAGAGAAAAAAAGAAGAAACAGAGAATTGAGAATGCAAGCAAGCAGACTCAAAAATCAAAGTGGTTTTTATAAACAAAGACACACCAGATAACTGCTGTGCAATGACTCAGGTCACTCACACTGCATTCACCACCTCACTCTCTCTCTTCTCATTATCTATTCCACCTCTTCAGCCCCCCGGATTGACCGGAGGCTGTTCAAATCAATGAGAGAGTGTTATAACAAATTGAGCCAAGGATTGAGCTGATGCTCAGTGACTTGTAACAACAAGGCTACTTGATCACTTACATGACCTGCTTTATCATTTCAGTTGTCTGCAGAGAATCTATCCCTGTGTGTGATGACATTGCAATTCATCAGCAAGCGCCCGGGAGTCTCTTCTCAGACACCATCACCGGCCTGCTGAGATTCTGAGCCTGAAGACCTATTCATATTCAACTATGATGTGCAGGGTAGCATTGTCATGTTTCAGCATGAATTCTGACTTAGAGATGTTCAGTCATAATTCAGCAGATGATAGTATCATGGCACTGTCTGGTCAGACAGCTGCAAAAATCAATTATCTGAATCAACAGTTTCTCTTGAACTAGATTGAATTACTGTTACAGTGATCTTCATCAGTAGAATAAAACTAATCTGTCTCACAACAGTCTAAACTCAGCTCATGTTCTCTATTAGTGAGTGAATAATTCAATACTTACTGAATTCTGCTTCAGTATGATAGAAAGAGCTGACATTAAAGAATCAAAAAGCAATATCACTATAAACACTTAACTGTTATAAGTCAGTTATCTCTGTGATAACTTTTCTAAGACCTCTAGCCTCAAATTTTGAGAGACTAAAGAATTAATAAATCACACTTTCATGATTTGTATTCACACTGAAAATCAAAATTAAGAAGACTTTTACTCTTTTATTCTACTGAAGATTTCTATTCTCTATAAGTCTCTCTTAGAACATCTGTATTATAATTTAACAGATGTGCTGTCTCAGTTAAACTTCTTATCTAACAATGTTTTCAACCTGAATCAGCCTGTGAAGAATCTTAACATCAGAAGTTAAGCAGTAAAGCTCAGTTCTGCTTCATTGAATAAGTAAAAAAATGATAAAGATAGTGATATTTCACTGATACTGAAGCTTTCATCTATTCTACACTTCTTATATCTTTTTACAATGTCAAACTAGAGTCAAGCTCAACAGAGTCTTCTTTCTTCACTAATTCTGCCAAGCTCATTCTCTTGACTGTGATTTTACTAGATAGTAAATAGAGATAGTGAGAATCTTGTTAATTTATTCATGCATGTCACTAATTAGATGATGAGATATTTAACTATTTTAAGAGAGTTATAGTTACTTCTGCTGTTTATCTGTACTTGATTGAATTTCTTCACTTTGACATTCAGAGTACTGAGCAGAAATCACATTATATCAATATCACTTTCTGATTATTACAATACTATGTTTTAATTAGACAGTTAGATTTCTCTTGTCTATATCAGTTCTAAGTTGATTTTTAATTGCATGCTGAACAGCTGAAGCCTGTCAAGAGTGTTTACACTCTGATACTGAAGAGTCTTCATCAGTTGTCTGACTAGTGCTTCTCTGCTTCAGAGATCTCTGCTCAAGACTCAACATACTCAATTCTTAGAGTCAATTCTTTTTTCAAAGTTACAGATCTATTTTATCAACTTCTCTTATCTACATTATTCTATTAACTAGAGGCTTTTCATCTTGAAGACCTGCTGTGATTATAAGTATAATCTGATATGAAAACTATTTCTTTCTGTGAATTTTCAAGGATTGTCAGAGGCACACTGAATTCTGCAAAGATGTGAGACTCTGCTAGTCATTGAACCCTAGCTCTGAATAAACTGATTTCAGAGTAATAGACTGTTAAGAAGAAAAGATAACTGTTCTCAGAATTCTCACTGACATCTCTGTGTTCAGTTACATTGTCATGAATAATTCACATTCAGATGCTGAAATATTAATCAGCTTCTCTTTTAATAGACAGTGCATGAGAGCATGCTTTCAAACAGAGTTTCTCTATATCTTAGAATTAACTAATTCATATTCAACTGCTATTCACATGAAATCTTTTCTCACTTCAGTTCTCAAAGTTCTCATTTAAGTATTTACTACTATTATCAAGATCTGTACTAGAGATTATTTAACTCAGAATTACTCTCTAGACTTTGTCATGAATCTTCACACCTGCCTACTTATCAGGGCTTCAATTCTACCTCATCAGTGAGGTATGAATAGCACACTTGAGTGTCATTCATTTTCAGAGCTAGTTCATTCAGCTCATGAGTTGTTACACACTTCTTAGCAGATTCTGACTTTCATAGTCATCATCAGGCTGTCTAAATGAACTAACATCTTTTATAAGATCTGATGAGTGTGTATTCTGATATCTTAATCTCATATTCAGTTCATCCTGCATTATCAGTTCTGCTTATTAAAAATGATTCACTAGTAACAATTCATTTCAGTGCTTACATTCAATAAAGTAACAAGAGCTTCTTACATATTTAAAGTTTGAGAATAGATTAAGGTTGTTTCAATCTCAAGGCCTCTAATCATTCACTTTATCTTATAAAACTGAAAATATTACTACTATTCTGAGAGAAACTTCAGCAGAAATCAGCTACTAGATGATTCAATTAGTCTTTCATCTCTATACTTAAATTCAATGATTGATTTGCATGTCAGAATCACTGTGAGTCTTCATCAGAGTTTTCTCTGACTTCACTCTATTCAGACATAGTTTATCATCTTTCAGATTTCAACAGTCATACTCTTACTCAAATCTATCTAAAGACTTCAGAATCAGTCAATGATATACTCTTAAGAGTACTCATCTCTGTTCACTTTCACTGTATGAACAGGTTTGACATCTGAACACTTGTATAAATATTAGACTTCTTAATCTGTGTTTCAAGATGAATCACTTACAACTATTAAGTCAGTGTCTGTACTGAAGTGCATTTCTCAGTCTTAACTGACTGCATTGCATCCCCGACTATAAGATGTTCTGAGAGATGACACATTTCAGAAGTCTTTGACTGGCTGTTGAAACTGACACTGGTTCACCTGTGAAGAAGTGCATAGATAATAAATGTCTACTGAATTCTCACAGCTGACTCTGATTATAAGTGCTTTTCTTTTAACAATTTCACATGCTGTTTAACTCTCTTTTTAAAGTGTTTTTTATCTTTCAATTACTCTACTTGTGTGCTATCAGTCTCTGATCAATATTTAGCTTTAAATGAAATTTATCACTTATTTAGAGCTGCATTTCCAAACAACTCAACTCATTGAAGAAGCTTCACATGGGCGAAGCCAGTCAGCTTAAGACAGAATTCTCACCCTCTGTGATGCTCTGTTTCAGAGAACTTAGACTGTGGCCATGTCTGAAGCATTTCTCACAAATTACAACTCAGGTCTCAAAAAAGCCAGATTTCAAATTTGAGCTTTTATTACTTCACTCACTGTTACTGAGATAATCTCTGTTGATTTCTTTTTCTCTGCTTATTAATATGCTTAAGTTCAGCAGGTATTTCTACCTGATCTGAGGTCAACCTGATGAGAAGACTGGCCTGAAGACTGCTCTCTCTTGAAGGATTTGAGATAAGGCTGGAGCCGGCCGGGCCTCTAGAGCAGGTGATAAAGCCTCATATACTCAGACACTGAAACATGACACTGCTGCTGCATTTCAGGCATGTTCACAGAGAAATGAAGGCTCAACACACAAGTCATGCTTGAGAATTACAATAACACTTGAACAGGCATGCTTCTCAGAATATCAGAGAGTATAATGTGTGTTCAAAGATTCAATGATTCACAGAATTCTGCAATTCATTTACTTATCATATTTTACTGCATTCTTTATCAATGTCAGAATCAAGAGATTCATTATTGAAAGTTTTAACTAATTATAGTTATTTTCTCAGATATCAATCAGTCATCAGAAGTTCTAGCAGTATCCTCAGCAGACATAAGTCTGAGAAGTGAAAACTCTCTTAACAGCATCACTGCAGACCCGCTGAAGCAACAGATAAAAATAGACAAGAGTGATCAGATAAGAGAGCTGAGGTTTCTCTGATTTAGAAGGTTTAATTCTCTACAGTATGTTAATAATTCTTTCATAGATGATAGGTTCATCTACAGAAACCTTGTTACAACTTTTACTTCCTCTAAATAATTAAGTTTGATCAACTTTTCAGCTCTGAGTAGTCATTGCCAATTTCTCTGAGTCAGTCTGAAGACCTCACTGAGCCATTCAATCAGTAGTAGCAATGAGCAGTGTGTACAAAGAGTAGAGACATAATCAGCACAAGCTGATGACTTATATCTACTAGACATTTCTCATTGAAGAGCAATAATTGCAATACTCTGGCCCGGTGGCGTAGTGGTTAACTACGCTACCATGGAGCCCCAATTAGCGGCCTTCCCCCCGGGGAATGAATGTCAAGAGGGGGCAGGTTCGAACCCTGTAAGAGCCATCTTAACCACAGCTTCCACTGTTAAGTCATAAAACAGTACCGGGGGCCCCTGGATGCACTATAGCGAATCATTGTCAAGCTTAAGATGTCTATCCCGGGGGTTCCCGGGCGCTAATTCTCACTGATCTTAGGGTTAACAGCCCCCTGGGCGCTTCAAGTTAGATCAGTACTAGAGTGATTGAGGTCTAGAGTGCCCGCAGGATAGTGAATCATTGTCAAGCTTAACTGGGCCAGGTCTCATCCCCCTCACTCTAGGCACTCACTTCCGGGGAATGAGATTTAAAAACTATCCGATTAGGACACCCTGGGCCTAGCAAGGACCTAGGTGAGACAAGGCCTAGACATTCTTAATAGGTGGTTAGTGCAAGCAAGACTGTGACAGCCAATTGATAGGCTGGAATGCTGAGATTGACAGCTGGAAGATTAGAGACTTAACTAGAATTAAGTAGCTCTGGTGTTATTCTTAGTGAGGATCTCACTTATGAGTAAGCTAGTTACAGGAGCTAGCTGGGCGGCGGCCCTTTAGAGGGAATGATAACCCCTGAAGCGGGCCCGAGAGGACAGAGGCGGCGGTCGGTTATATAAGGTGTTAAAATATGTATATAGCTTAAGATGTAAACTGCAGAGATCTTGTTCTGTAGCTCTCTTTACTTTATCTTTTTCTTTCAATTTCTTTCTATCTATCTATTTAATGTGTCTATCTTTAAGACTGTGTTCTCTTTCTCTTTTTCTTTGTCATGATATTGTCAAATGATTTCAAAGTATCAGAAGATGTTAAAACACTGCAATTTGTAAACAGTTTTTGTATTCTAGGCTGGAATTTTCTGATTTTACATATCTGAAATTGATGAATGTATAATAGTTAACTTTACAGATATAGAAAAAACCCTGAGAACTAAAAGTTCTCAGGTAGATGTCATAGTCTCTGACTGCATACATCTATAATTGAAGAATAATAATAATAATAATAATAATAATAATTGCAATACTCTATTCTCAGCATAACAGAGTTTAACAAGATTATTCAGATCTCTCAGTTAAGATGATGTACTTGCTGACTCTGTCAGTGTAGTGCACATGCAGCTCAGAATATCTAAGAGTATCACAGATCTGTTACTATCTCAAACTTTCATCAGCTTGAGCTGATAGTCTCTCTAAGAAGTCAGTAGTCTGCAAATGTGAGCCGGGCTATTTAGCAGGTTAAGATCTCATTCATTATCACAATTAAGCAGACAAATCACTTCATTAACTAAGAACCGCCATGCACCATCATTCAAAAGATTAAGAAAGAGCTCTCAATCTGTCAATTCTTATTTTATCTGAATCTGATGAGTTTCTCTGTATTGAGTCAAATTAAGCCACAGACTTCACATCTTGTGATGCTCTTTCATCAATTTCTTTAAGTTTCAGTCTTGTGATCATACTCTCTTCAGAACTCAAAAACTTTGATTTCTTATAAGATGCTGAACAGGTCATTATAAGTACTTCTATCTTTATAAACTTATTGACTTCTTTGAAACTCCAGGCACATCAGTAGATTCAAATCACTCAAAGAGTCTCAGAGAACAAGATTCAACATCTTATCACATCTGCTTCATTTTTAAACTGTCTGCTATCATGTGTATATCTCATAAGAATAAGAGCACTTCAACTAGTGAGAGAGTTGAGTGCAATGTCTGTTATCTTGTGTCAGAGGCATTTCATCTCTCTTCATACAGTTCTAGTAATTGAACAGTCTCAGAAAAGATGTTTTGCTATTTAAGACATGTAGCATCTTAGACAGCTTTGTAGTTTTACTCAGGTTACATCTGTTCTGACTTTAACTAGAATCATTTTCCAGTAAAGATCACTAAATTCAGAATAGTCAATTGTTTGATAATAAAGACTTTTTCAGATACTTGTTTCTGAGATTTCAGTCAGGTCTATGCTATCTCTTTTACAACTATCTTTAAGAGGTCTAAGCAGGTTCTTTGACACATAGGTGTTCTTCAGTAGATGTTAATAGATTTTCTTACAGAGAGCTGAGATTGAAATTGACTGATCAAGTCTTTGACTTCACATCTCTGTATGCTTTATTATTATTATTCTTCAATTATAGATGTATGCAGTCAGAGACTATGACATCTACCTGAGAACTTTAGTTCTCAGGGTTTTTTCTATGTCTGTAAAGTTAACTATTGTACATTCATCAATTTCAGATATGCAAAATCAGAAAATTCCAGCCCAGAATACAAAAACTGTTTACAAATTGCAGTGTTTTAACATCTTTTAATACTTTGAAACCATTTGACAATATCATGACAAAAGAAAAGAGAGAAAGAACACAGTCTCAAAGATAGACACATTAAATAGATAGATAGAAAGAAATTGAAAGGAAAAGATACAGAAAAAGACTACGGGCGCTAGCCACCCGCAGGATGCACCTTAAGCTAATTACATTTAACCCCCTATAATTAACCGACCACCGCGTCCGTCCTCTCGGGCCAGCCACTAATTTCCAGGGGCGTTAGTTAGTGGCTGCCACCGCCCACTTGGTGGCGTACACACCAAGCTTCCGGTTGCTGATCTCGGCCCCATTAGATGCCCATAGGCCTACCAATCAGCCGTCGTGGCCTCGCCCCGTGTTAGGGACTAACCATAGGCTTGATGACTGCAGTCCTCCCTGCCAGTATTAGGGGTTGGCAGTGAGCTTGCAGGCACTAGCCTATCAGGGTGCCCTGTCTAGGGCCTAGATGCGCGTCTAGGCCTGCTAGTCGGGTGGTTTTCAAAATCATTCCCTGTATTTGGGGGGGAGCTAGGCTCCGATGGCGGCCCTAGTTAGGGACTTGCTTAAGTAGTGTATAACCACTACATTAGGCTTGACTCTATATCGTTAGAACCTTGACGGGTGCACAGTAGGATAGTGGGACATTGGCACCTCATGCCGGCCCTGGTGGGTGTTCGCAGGATCTCGCTTAACTAGTGGCTTGGCTTGCAGTAGAGAGTTCTACCCCGCACCAAGCCTTACTAATTAGGCTCAGCCCCTATTACATGGGGGCTTTCATGGGTAAGAAGTGGCAGGTGCCAGCGGTGGGATTCGAACCCACGCACCCCTAATGTGTGCGGCCTTGGTTACCAGTCTTACCAACTGGGCCACGCTGGCTCTCTGTATGCTTAAATCTCACAATGTTTTCAGATACCTGAGACTGTTGCAGCAGTCTGATTCACTCTTGTGAGAAAATCTTCACCACTCTTTTTGCCACTGCTATATATCTCTGTGAGGGTTTATTTTCTGCTCTTAACAAATCTCATATCTGTGATATAATTAAGATAGGTTCATTGAGATCTTTCCCTTCAAATAGATCTTTTCACACTTCAGCATTTCACCTTGATATGCTATGACTCTTACTTAATACAGAGTGATATCAGAAGTATATATTCTCTATATCATTTCAGCTGCTCAGTGATACATCTCACTTTCTACAAGCTTTGCTTTATCAACTCCAGAAGAACTTGATTGATGAAGAAAAATTAAGTGTATAAGTCACTTATACCTGAGATCATGAATAAGTGATGAACTGTCTTACTTCTACAGTTAGTTCTGCATGAATTATATCTATCATTAACTGACTTCAGATTGGCTTTTTCTCTGGCTTCTTATCTAGCTCACTTTCAAGAGCGTAAATTCAGTACATGTTTAGTGTCTTCTGCATTGTCATGATATCTATGACTGCTAGTTCACCTTCACTCAGAGAGTGTGTTAGTTATTAATTTTCAATTGAGCTGCAAGCCGGCTGGTTCGGTCTGACATCTCATATATATTTTCATATCATGATTTGAATGAGTTGCAGATCATCTCTTCAGGCCGGCAGACACCTTAGCATGTATTACAGTTTTAAAGCTAGACAGGTCTTGACTACTGCAATTCACTGCTGAATTGAGAGATGATGCTTCTGTTAGCATTTCATACTCTGTCTTGTTTTCAGTTGATACTGAATTCAGACAGAGTAGTCTATCAGCCTTCTCACATAAATACTGAAATACTTCATCAGTCAGTTATTAAGTATCTCTATCACCTCTAGTCTGTCTGAGGGTTGCAGGTCACTGACTGCTAGCATCTGTGTTTTTCCTTTATTTAGCACAGCTGTTGTTGTCTTACTGTACATATTATAGATGTCTCTAATTGTTCTTCACTGAGCTAGACTTTAGAACAAGATCAATGTATCATCTGCAAACATGCTGACCTTGTATTCTTGTCTCATACTATCTCTCAGTTCTTGAATAGAGTTATTCTTAATTAGCAGCCTTGCTAGGTCTTCTATTATCACATTAAACATCAGACAGAATGACAGACAGTCTTGCCTTACATCTCTTTCAAGCTTGATTGACTCAGACTGAAATCTATTGATCATGACTGTGAATATTATGCTATGATAGCAGCT